ACATGACTTTATGCGTATCAGCAAATATTTACGAACCCCAAAGTTGCAGCAGAACTCGCCGGCATATCTCACAGACGTTAGTCTCATGTTTGCATGGTTGCAGAACTTCCTCTGAAACCACAGAACAAAAAAAATCACATCCTTTATGTCAGTGAGTTACTGTAAGCAATATTTTTAATATCATGCAAGAAATGTTGCTACTACCAGGCAGATATCAGTGAAACATTCGTCTGAGAATGCACAAAATAACTGACAACTGAGTGGCAACATTTAGTGGAAGATTGTAAGATTGAATAGTTTCTGACGAAAATCTAAGTGGTGCTTACCTGCCATGGTTGCCAGGTTGTTTCTTATCTCAAGTGAAGAGAGTCTCTGTGATCTTCTGCTCTCTAGATCCCTCCTTCAATGTGCATGTGTGGGATTTTTCTCCTGTTTTATGGTTCATCGGGAGAAAATTACATTTGATTACATTTTATTAAAGGAATAGCTGGTTCACCCAAAACTGATTTTTTTTTTTTAAATGTTCTCACCCTCAGGCCATCCGAGATTAGGATGAGTTTGTGTCTTCATCAGGTTTGGAGAAATGTAGCATTGCATCAGTGTCTCAGCAATGGATGCTCTGCAGTGAATGGGTGCCGTCAGAATGAGAGTCCAAACAGCTGATAAAAACATCACAATAATCCACAAGTAATCCAATCTGCGCAGATCATGCACCGTTTACAAGCAAACAGCTCTAAACAAACATGTGGATGGGTTTTGATGTGAGACACACAATTCAGAGAAAGTTCATTCAGTACTGGACAGGATTGTGCTTCATTCCGACTCAAATTCCAGTCTGGTCTTTCTGTGTGACGCGGCCAGTTCAGTCCATGTTCTGACTCACGAAGCTGTACTGGTGCCTGACCCGGTTCTTGGCTCCAGAGAGGCCATTGGGAACGGGTTGTGCCGGTGAACTGGTGACATCTGGGCATGACGGGGTGAACGAGCGGGGACACGTGAGCACAAGAACACACAATATAAAGCAGCACAGCTGGTCGGGTTTACTTTGGCTCTGTTCACACAAGCAGGCAAAACAGAGCAGTAAAACCAGCCGAAAACAGTCAAGACCACAGAATGAGAAGAGCACAAAAACCAGCACTCTATCTATCTATCCATCCATCCATCTATGATTGTATATCTATCCATCCAAGTATCTATCCATCCATCCATCCATCCAACTATCTATCCAACTATATATCCATCTATCTATGATTGTATATCTATCCATCCAACTATATACCTATCTATCTATCCATCAACTATATACCTATCTATCTATCCATCCACCTATATACCTATATATCTATCCATCCACCTATCTATCCATCCATCCATCCATCCATCTATGATTGTATATCTATCCATCCAACTATCTATCTATCCATCCATCCATCCATCCATCCATCCATTCATCCATCTAACTATCTATCCAACTATATATCCATCTATCTATGATTGTATATCTATCCATCCAACTATATATCTATCCAGCCAACTATCTATCTATCTATCTATCTAGCCATCTATCTATCTATCCAGCCATCTATCTATCTATCGAGCCATCTATCTATCTATCCATCTATCTATATATCTATCCAGCCAACTATCTATCTATCTATCTATCTATCTAGCCATCTATCTATCCAGCCATCTATCCATCTATCTATCTGTCTATCCAGCCATCTATCTATCTATCGAGCCATCTATCTATCTATCCATCTATCTATATATCTATCCAGCCAACTATCTATCTATCTATCTATCTATCTATCTAGCCATCTATCTATCCAGCCATCTATCCATCTATCTATCTATCTATCTATCTATCCAGCCATCTATCTATCTATCTATCTATCTATCTGTCTGTCTATCTGTCTAACTATCTATCTATCTATCCAGCCATCTATCCAGCCATCTATCCAGCCATCTATCCAGCCATCTATCCAGCCATCTATCCAGCCATCCATCCATCCATCCATCCATCCATGATTGTATATCTATCCATCCATCCATCCATCCATTCATTCATCCATCTAACGATCTATCCAACTATATATCCACCTATCTATGATTGTATATCTATCCATCCAACTATATATCTATCCAGCCAACTATCTATCTATCTATCTATCTATCTATCTATCTATCCAGCCATCTATCCAGCCATCCATCCATCTATCTATCCAGCCATCCATCTATCTATCTATCTATCTATCTATCTATCTGTCTAACTATCTATCTATCTATCTATCTGTCTATCTATCTATCTGTCTAACTATCTATCTATCTATCTATCTATCTATCTGTCTAACTATCTATCTATCTATCTATCTATCTGTCTATCTGTCTAACTATCTATCTGTCTAACTATCTATCAGTTTGGTCGTCTGTCTAAATATCTGTCTGTCTGATTATATATCTATCTATATATCCATCCAACTATATATCTAGCCGTCTAACTATACTGTATATCCGTCTGTCCATCTAATTATATATCCGTCTATCTATCCATCTAAGTATATATCTGTGTGTCTATCTATACCTATGTCTTTCATGTGTCTCTAACCATCTATCAGCCTATCTATCCATCTGTCCTCTAACTACATAACGCTCCGTCTATCTATTCTTCTGTCTAGCTGTCTATCTATCAGTCTTTCCAAGTATGCATCTGTCTATCTGTCCGTCGATTCATCTGTTTCTCTGTACATCTAGACACTGCCCAGTAACTCCCTAGCAACCACTCAGAGCACCTTAGCGACAGCTTGGTAATGCGATATACACAGACCTATAAATGCTTTTAACAAACGTTCCTCCTCTAGCCACACATGGTTTTTTCGTTCAGTGATCTGTCATTGTTGTCTCGTGGATCATCTGGCCTGATTCGAGGAAAACCTAATCATAAATGAGAGTTTATGCCATGAGGCGCAGCTGGATTCAGGTATTAAACACTCGAGGTACCCATGATTCCCTGCGTCAGTTGCGAACGGGATCCGGATCGACTCCCACCGGCAGCTATAAAAACAACAAACACTGGACACAATGAGAAAAGTGTGCAGACAAACACACAGTAAAAGCAGAGCCATCGCAGATGTTATGAGAGCAGAACGCCATCCGTCTTCCTCTGCTGCTCTTTATAGCCAGAGAAATCCCGACAAACACACGATATTAGCAGCTGTAAATCTCCTGACAAACACACCGTCTGCAGCGAGACACAATATCCCGCCTGATCACATGACCTTAAAGGATCGGTTCACTAAAAATCATTGTAACAAAAAGCACAGAAGAAAAATACCTCATATAGGTTTGGTTTTATTTTGGAGGTGAACTGTCTCTTTAAGATCGAAATAATTCATTCTGACTGCCATTTACTTTTAATAATAGAGACAGCATCATTTGTCGCCGATGGGTAAATCGATGCGCACATATAAACAGAGATCTGTACGAAGGTATATCGATCTCTGAGACCTCAAACCCCCTCTGAATGTGCTGGCTAGTGTTGTGTAACAGGGAGAGAGGTCAGAGAGCTGACCGATGACCCGGTCAACAGGACACTTGCAGAGGCGTGATGAACGTGACGCACATTTCCAGGACTAACGCATCTGGATTATCAATGCATTTCACAAAGGAACAAACTGAAGTATAGAGAGAACTAGCTGTGTTAAGTTTGTAAACAAACTTTGATGTTGGCTCGACAAAGCCTTGTTTGAAAGTTTGAAATAAAGCATTATAAAGGTATTCATAATGCACATTGTAATGCATTATATCTTTTCATACAGTAAATAATTGAAACCAATGTTAAAAAGCACTATTATATTCAAAGGTTTGTTTGTCATGTGCATGCATCAAACTTTCTAAAGGTGTAACAATAAATAGATAGTGTTTACAATTATTCATGAGATCCTACAATGCATTATAAGGTGCATTACAGGGCATAATTAATGCATTCAAAATACTTTTACAATGCATTATACTGTATATAAAGGCTTATATATAAAGTAAAGTGTTAGCACTATTTTTAGCTAGATGCCAAGAGTTTCATTTAGTTTAAATTGATGCACTACGTAACTAAAACTGAAATAAATAGTAGTAAAAACATAAAAATGATAAAAAAAATAAAATTATATAGACGTAAAAATTACAAAAACAAACAACAAAATTACTAAAACTTGAAAAAAAAGTTTTTTTCAAAATATTCCTAAAAACTATATTTATTTTTTATGTATTATTATTTTTTAAATGTAGTTTAAATCACGTCCGTGAACTGATTTGATCCTATTCCTAGTCAGTGCAGATGATTCTTTATACAGACAGACTGACTGTAAAACCCCATGACGTTCAGTGAGTGTAAGTGTGAGGAGGATATTCTCAGTCTGTTTGCTTGCTTCAGTTCGTCAGATAAGAGCCAACGTGCAGCGCAGCGATAAGACCTAATGAAGTCTCATTCCAGCGTGGACGGCTCTCGACTCCTGAGCCCTGACCGATAACAAGAGCTTTTCATGTGGACTCGTGAGGCTCTCAGTGGGTTCCTCAGACACCTTACTTCAGCTCCTCTAATGCCATTCTCCTCCAGATTAGTAGCTCGTATTGAGTTGACCATTTATAAGTCACTTTGGATAGGAGCTGAACGGATAATTCAGTGTTTTTTAAGATAGATTTGTTCTTCTTCACACATTTTTATTATATTTATAATATATAAAATATATTAAAGAGAACGAGAGAGAGAGAGAGAGAGAGAGCTTGTGTGAATTAGGCTAGCTCTGTGCGTCCCTCAACAGTGTTCTGCAGCAGCGTCTTTAAACAGCGCTGTTATTACCTCGCTAGTGAGAAATGTCATGTACTGATCACACAGATAAAATACTCCAGAACTCACAAAAAAAAACTATCTGTGTAGTTCTGGTGATATCGGCAGAACAGCAATAGAGTTTCAGCAGAGTTTATTTCTGCTTTGCATGATGATGAACTCAGCACAAATGATGGCGGAAATGCTCTGTAGACTTTTTTGCAACGTAGGCTTTTATAAAGAATTCCAGCCGATGCTGCAGTAAACGCACGTCTGATCTCACCTGCAGCATCCAGTCGCTGAAGGAGCGCTGCCAGGAGTCTCTCTTCTCCAGGTGCAGGTACGTGTTGAAGAGGATCAGGTACATGTAGCGCTCCAGATACAGCAAACTCTTCAGCGTCAGAGCCTGGATCTCCGTCTCACATTTAGAGCTCTTGATCTGTCAGACGACACAAAGAAGAGCCATAAACCACCAACAATCATCTGAGCATCAAGCAGCTGCACTGGATCGCACGAAACAGAGAAATGGTGCAGGTATCGCTGGTGGACTTCAAAAAAAAAAAAAAAACATGGTTACTGTACTTTTACTTTTACTAATAAAAGCATGGTTAATTTTTGTAAGGGAAAAACATGACTCATGTTCAGTATTAGGATTTTTCTATAAAGATATTGTAGTGATGTACTAATTTTGACATGTGGGCAATTTAGAAAGTATAGTTTTGTTAATACATTTTAAATAGGGTAACTTGAAATCTGTAACCTATTACATTTCCTAACTAACCTTCCCAAAACTGAAAGTAGCACACTTTAACTATAACTACACTATTGCATTAAAATAATGCAAATTAATGCCCATAAATCTTCCTCGCTGCTGTAGCAGTTTCAAATGATATAAAACTAGTATATTTACAAAGCTGCTTTCTGAAAATGTTTAAAAAAATTAAATAAATCAAAAATAAAATAAATAAAAATAATCAAAATTTTAAAAATGCTTATATTGTTTAATAAAAATAAAAATAATAAAAAATAAATTAAAAACATTTATACAAAATAAACTAATAAATATAAAAAAATAAATAATATAAAATCAAATAAAAAATAACACCAATTGCTGCAATGTACATGTGGCTTGATAGCATATGTTTTGGTAATAAATTAAAATTTGCTTATTTTCAAATCAATACATATTAAATGTCTGCACTAAATGTCCTTATTGACTAGTGCTGGATAGAATAAATAATAACCATGCTTTTAATATTAGAGTACATAAAAAGGCAAGTATTTTTGTGCTTTTACTCAAGTAAAATAATTTAAAAAAAAAGAGTACTTATAAAATAATCTATTATTAAGGTATCTGTAGTTTTACACAAGTTCACAAAACTCTAAAACTGTAATGATGATTATTAAACAATTACGTCAATTACGTATGATTTGCCCCATATACGTGTTCAATTATGTATTTACAAAAAAAAACTTCTGCAAGCCTCGCAAGCCTCAAAACACATTGCATGTGTAAAACAGAGTCTCACTGGGACAAAAACAATCCAAACAAGAGCAACAATTTAATGGTTTTAAAAAATGAATTAAAGGCACCCCGCTGACTGTGTAATCCTGCGCTTTTATTAATGAGATCAGAGTAATTTATGCAGGCGGCGGGAGATTAATGTTGCCGTAATATTTAGTCTTTACTCAAACTGTCCCAACAAAAGAAACTGCAGAGTATAAAAAAAGGCCGATTACACGCACAGTGTAACAAAAGAAGTGAATTAAACACTTTTCAAGGTAATTTAGCTGTACAGCTACTCTAGCATTGTACTTTTAATGTTATAAACTCTGTTCTGATCATTGATTCTCATCAGCCTGATGCATGCTGGGGTTAAATTGGGACAAATCGATCACCATTGTTTTTCAATCCAATCCAATGCATGTATGATTCAGTAGAGTCTGTTTTAGTGGAATCAGTAAACAAAATGCAACCGTATGCATGAAAGTGAGCATGCACAGACTGAAGCACTTGTGTTTTGGACCTGTTCGAGTATCAAACGAATGAATGCAAAGATATTTCAGTGTTATTTAATGTTACATCAAAAAGGTCAGACATACAAATCTATATCAGATCCATAAAACAAGCTGACAGAATAATGCTGTGCAATCTTGAACATGTGGATGTTCTGGCATCTGTTGGGCTCAAACCGGCGAACTGTCTGAAATAATCAAAGATGAGAACTATTAAAGGCAGCTGTTCGTCTGGTTTCATGATGTGAAATCGTCCCTACAGTTAAATCAGTGCAGCAGCTGCTGAATAATAAATAAAGCCTCCGTGTGATTTAGATGAGGGTCTGAAACTGAATGGTGAAAGCAAACATCAGTTCTCAATAAATCTTCCTCGCTGCTGTGGCAGTTTCAAATGATATAAAACTAGTATATTTACAAAGCTGCTTTCTGAAAATGTTTAAAAAAATTAAATAAATCAAAAATAAAATAAATAAAAATAATCAAAATTTTAAAAATGCTTATATTGTTTAATAAAAATAAAAAATAATAAAAAATAAATTTAAAAAATGTATACAAAATAAACGAATAAATATAAAAAAGTAAATAATATAAAATCAAATAAAAAATAACACCAATTGCTGCAATGTACATGTGGCTTGATAGCATATGTTTTGGTAATAAATTAAAATTTGCTTATTTTCAGTTTCAAATGATATAAAACTAGTATATTTACAAAGCTGCTTTCTGAAAATGTTTAAAAAAATTAAATAAATCAAAAATAAAATAAATAAAAATAATCAAAATTTTAAAAATGCTTATATTGTTTAATAAAAATAAAAAATAATAAAAAATAAATTTAAAAAATGTATACAAAATAAACGAATAAATATAAAAAAGTAAATAATATAAAATCAAATAAAAAATAACACCAATTGCTGCAATGTACATGTGGCTTGATAGCATATGTTTTGGTAATAAATTAAAATTTGCTTATTTTCAAATCAATACATATTAAATGTCTGCACTAAATGTCCTTATTGACTAGTGCTGGATAGAATAAATAATAACCATGCTTTTAATATTAGAGTACATAAAAAGGCAAGTATTTTTGTGCTTTTACTCAAGTAAAATAATTTAAAAAAAAAGAGTACTTATAAAATAATCTATTATTAAGGTATCTGTAGTTTTACACAAGTTCACAAAACTCTAAAACTGTAATGATGATTATTAAACAATTACGTAAAGTTATGCTGATTTGCCCCATATACGTGTTCAATTATGTATTTACAAAAAAAAACTTCTGCAAGCCTCATTAAGTATAAAACACATTGCATGTGTAAAACAGAGTCTCACTGGGACAAAAACAATCCAAACAAGAGCAACAATTTAATGGTTTTAAAAAATGAATTAAAGGCACCCCGCTGACTGTGTAATCCTGCGCTTTTATTAATGAGATCAGAGTAATTTATGCAGGCGGCGGGAGATTAATGTTGCCGTAATATTTAGTCTTTACTCAAACTGTCCCAACAAAAGAAACTGCAGAGTATAAAAAAAGGCCGATTACACGCACAGTGTAACAAAAGAAGTGAATTAAACACTTTTCAAGGTAATTTAGCTGTACAGCTACTCTAGCATTGTACTTTTAATGTTATAAACTCTGTTCTGATCATTGATTCTCATCAGCCTGATGCATGCTGGGGTTAAATTGGGACAAATCGATCACCATTGTTTTTCAATCCAATCCAATGCATGTATGATTCAGTAGAGTCTGTTTTAGTGGAATCAGTAAACAAAATGCAACCGTATGCATGAAAGTGAGCATGCACAGACTGAAGCACTTGTGTTTTGGACCTGTTCGAGTATCAAACGAATGAATGCAAAGATATTTCAGTGTTATTTAATGTTACATCAAAAAGGTCAGACATACAAATCTATATCAGATCCATAAAACAAGCTGACAGAATAATGCTGTGCAATCTTGAACATGTGGATGTTCTGGCATCTGTTGGGCTCAAACCGGCGAACTGTCTGAAATAATCAAAGATGAGAACTATTAAAGGCAGCTGTTCGTCTGGTTTCATGATGTGAAATCGTCCCTACAGTTAAATCAGTGCAGCAGCTGCTGAATAATAAATAAAGCCTCCGTGTGATTTAGATGAGGGTCTGAAACTGAATGGTGAAAGCAAACATCAGTTCTCACACTGCTGTGATTAATGCAGATCACTAAATTTCTCTCTCTTCTGAATTAGACATCATTGCATACAAGACGGGAAATACACCGCTATATCTTTATTTATAAAGTTCTGTTCTAAATATCTTCAAAAGTTGCTGCAACTTCATATTCATACATATACAAATAATTTATTTAATTTTATTATAATTGTATAAAATTTGTATTTGTTTATTTTTATGTTATGTTTTATTTTAATATTATTTGTTTCAATTTTTAGGAATTACAATAATAGTTTTGGATTGTAATTCCTAAAAATTGAAACAAATAATATTAAAATAAAACATAACATAAAAATGAACAAATTAAAATTTAATAATTTAATACAATTATAATAAAATTAAATAAATTATTTTATTAAAAAAAAAATTATATAATAAAAATAAATATTTTGTGTGTTCATTCTCAACACTCATATCACACATGATCTCTATTGCTTTCAGATCTTGCAAAGTAAAGAAAATGTCAAATCAAAAGAAACTTGAGGAATCACCGCCAAGAATGGCTCCACCCACTGATGCTGCTGTTGCCTGGATACCAGCAGCCCAGGTATGATACTGTTACGGGTTCAACAGCTCATCAGCCAATCAGATGCTACCGTATAACATATGGTAACGCTTTTGAAAGAGGAGCTGATAACGGGACTGAACACACAGGACTCTCCAGGGTAACAAGGAATTTATGAACGAGAAGGTCAAAGTGTGCACCTGAACCCTAAAATGAACAAAAATTTAATAATTTAATACAATTATAATAAAATTAAATAAATTATTTTATTAAAAAAAAAATTATATAATAAAAATAAATATTTTGTGTGTTCATTCTCAACACTCATATCACACATGATCTCTATTGCTTTCAGATCTTGCAAAGTAAAGAAAATGTCAAATCAAAAGAAACTTGAGGAATCACCGCCAAGAATGGCTCCACCCACTGATGCTGCTGTTGCCTGGATACCAGCAGCCCAGGTATGATACTGTTACGGGTTCAACAGCTCATCAGCCAATCAGATGCTACCGTATAACATATGGTAACGCTTTTGAAAGAGGAGCTGATAACGGGACTGAACACACAGGACTCTCCAGGGTAACAAGGAATTTATGAACGAGAAGGTCAAAGTGTGCACCTGAACCCTGGAGGTCAAAGGTCATGGGGAAGACTTCACACTGAAAAGAGACCTGATGCTCCACAAACTCGAACCCAGACACTTCACT